TGTTTTCAGATTTTTTAAATCGATTAGTTGAAAAGTTGTCAACTAGTTGATTTTTCAACTAACGATTTGGATCACTAGTATAGACTTCCTGCACCATATTTAATACAGAATAATAATTAACTTAGTGTAATAAAATGTTTTCCTTGAATGATCGTCACATTTCTATAGTATTTATAGTGATATATATATATAATTTGTAATTAACTGATAGATCATTAATTCGTAATTCGTAAGTAATCAGAAGATCTGCAATAGTAGATAATTAGTGATTGGTGGGGATATATTAAATATAAAATTTTCTACTTGCAAAGAATCTTGAGCCAGCTTTGAATCTTGAGTTGATTTAGTTATAAAAACTCTTTTATAGAGATTTAAATAGCAAAATATTTGTAAGAAACTGAACTTTTAAAAAAGTAAAGAAATTTATAAAATTCTATCATATCTGTTTCAAGATTAACGATCTCTATTTATCATATCAAAGCATCCTAAACTTGAAGTAAAACTTATATCTCTTGGTCAAATAATACCCCAGCTACACTATAGCATTTATTTTCATAATTGGTGGACTATTAAAGATTATAATGAAGAAACATTTCTATTTCCAATTCGTGTTGGCTGGCAAACCACTTTTATACAAAACGATAAAAAGTTTTATATACATATTACTGAAGGAAATGAGCTTAATGAAAAACAACCAGGCTTTCAATGTAATTCGGGTAGTAAATTTAGTGATATAGAAGAAACCTCAAGCGTGACAATTACTAGTTTATATAATCATCTTTTTTCAAACTCAAATACTAGATTTTCTGGACCATATATTCTAGGTTGGGACAATAAAGATTTATTAGACGCTTCTCTTAAAGGAGTAGAGTTTCGACCATTTGCATTTAAAGTAGGAAAATATCTAATTCAAATAATTAGTATAGGAATTGAAAGTAATTCAGATTTAATGGGTGCAGGCATTGGATATATGTCATCATTTATAGGCGAATATAATAAAAAACAGGCTTCATTTATTCAAACAGTAGAACCAAATTATCTATATCAAATTGCTATATATCAATCTAATCAAGATCCAATATTAATCTTAGGCACAAGCCCAAATAATGTATGGAAAAAGACAGGACTTTTTAAGAAATTTTGTGGAACACAACTTTTTGGATTAGAAAATTCGCTAACACAAAAAGAAATTTCTACTCAAAAAATTTCTAAATGTACACCAGTTTCATGGAACAATGAAGCAATTATAAATAATATTTTCAATTATCATCTAAAAAAGCGAACTATAGCAAATATCAATTGGTGACAGTTATTTCAAAATTGGCTTAATCAACCTAGCACTATAATCAAATTAAGAGGAATGCTACAACCATTATATCCATATAATCATACTTTTAATGAAAGAGAGCTATGTGCATGGCATGCACTATTAAAAGCAATAGGATGTGTTGAAATAACTCCAAATTCTAAAGACCAATCAGAGGTAAATATTTATTTTGGTATTTATAACAATTATTAGTAAATTGGTATAATTATTTTAAAACTAAATCTTAATTTTAGTACGAATTTTGGTCCCGAAATTTTAACTCTTCAATAGACCAAAATATTTTAGAAGTTTTATATAAAAATAGATTTTTAAATACAATTCCTATGAATGTATTTAATTCAAGTAATCAATTTTGGAAATGTTTTCAAAAAGCGTTAGAAAAAAATAAAAAAAGACAAAAGATATGAGTTTTGTCAATAATTGCTAATAAGTTTAGTCATAAGGAACTTCAACAAAATCTTAATGTAAGTAATAATATCACATTTGTTAAAATATATTTTATAAAAAATAAAATATACTTATCTCTAACTTTTATATAGATATCATCTAAGATGATAACTAAAGCGAGAGCTTATTGCAATACTAATGGACCTGGATGTGAAATGTTACAAAAACCAATAATTATACGAGTTAGAATTACTTCAGAAATAGAGCAGCAATTTGAGAGATTTTTTGCAGACAAAAACATTATAAATATTAGCTCATATAAAGTTGATTCAAAGACTGGTCTGCCTCTTAAATATCTAAAAGACCAAAAAGAAACTTTGTGGCAAAAATATTTTGAGCTATATCCAAGTGGAATGAAGCGAACAACTTTTATAACACGTCTACGAAATGGTCCTTATGCATATCGTGATGATTTGGGTGGTTTATGTTATACTTGTAATGAATATGGTTATGGTGTTTTTGAAGAGTTAGAGGAATTAATTAAAAAGGAAGTTGAAGGTCAAAATAGTCAGGTAAGCAAATATTTGATACAATTATAAGAAATAAAAATTTAGCGCTAATTATAGCTATATATTATTAGAATCAATTAGTTGATAAACTAGATTTTTTATGTTGATTTCTAAAATATGACTATGAGAAAGAGCTTCAAGTTGATTGTTTCGGTCATACATATCATACAGAAACTCTAGAACATTGTCTTCCACATACATTTGGTCAATGCTCAAAGCAACATCTTTCAAATTGTAAAAACTGCAATAAGATATCTGAATTGTTTGACGAATTAGTTGACAAAATTCTACAAAAAATTGAGTTTATAATCGAGAATAGAAAAAAGCTTCAATATTATATATCACATCAGACACGTAAAATATATTTGAATGCTCAGTTCAATGCTCAATTACTTAAACTAAATGAAGAAAGCATGGTTATGGTTGCCGATTATAAAATGAGAATTTTAAAAAAAACAGCACGTGAAGTCAAATCAGATTTTTTTAGAAAGTCAGGCTGAACATTACATACAATATTAGTATATACCAAAATACCTACTTTTAATGAATTGCAAATTCAAGTATTTGATCATTGGTCATCAGACACAGTTCAGGATGCATGGTTTACTGCCTCAGCATTCGAAGCAGTTTTTAATATACTTGAGCCAAAACCAAAATGGGTAAAAATCCTGTCAGACAATAGCGGCCACTATCATTGTGCTGAATTAATATCAATGATTACCAATTGGAACTCTTGGTATGGCATAGAAGTACATAGTTAGACTTTTTTAGAAGCAGGAGAGGCAAAGACTACCGTTGACTCCTACCATGCTCAAGTAAGTTAAAACAAAGGTCTATAATATAAATCATAATACTTATTATAAATGGTTTATTCAAGATTACCCATGCTATAAAACGATATGTTCGATTAGGCTATAGTATAAATGAAGGTGAAGATATTGAAAAGGCGATCAAAGATATTTGGGGAACAACTGTAACAAACATTAAACCAGATCGAAAAAATATCAATAAGAATAAGCCTAAACTTCCTGGAATCTCCAATTGATATCAATTTAAATATCTAATAGAAGGTGAATTTGCAGGTTTTTTGTGCGCCCGATCTCTTCCACATTTTGGCGAATGGAAATATATATCTTCAGCAGAAATTTATAAATCAATGAAAGGAGATAATCTAAATCAACCAAATCCTGAAGTTTCTACTTACACTGATCCTAATTCCTAATAGATAATACCAATGCCATTATCAGGTAAGCTACTATATTTGTACAAATAAGTATCTTTTTGTAAAATTTTTATAGAATCTAGTAATTATACCTACTGTATAACCGCGAAATAATACACAATAGTGTAATTTCGAATTTTAACCTAAACTAAGATTAACCCAAAAATTGAAATAATGCTCTTGTATATTATTTCAAAGTTATATGATAATGCATTCAAATTGTTTTATCAAGAAAATGTCAAAATTTTCTGAATACAACTATTAGATCTTGATAAAAACAATACATATTTATAGTAATTATATAATCGTAAATAATTTTGTAATTTTACTTTATTTTTAGGTCCCAACCCCAGCCGATTAACAAAAAATATGATCAAAAAGGAATTGAACCAAAGAAACATACAATATAATAAAAAACTGGTTAAATCAGAACTAATCACTATATTAAGGGCAAATATACAATCTGAAACCCAGAATAGAATCGAAGGTATCTATGCTTAATATATTTACATATTTATATCTATTCTAAAATCATTTTTATTTTATAGAAGCACAACACACGGTCAATACGAGCAATTTCATAGAAGGAAAAACACCATTTTCAGACAAAGAAAACCAGCTAGAAATCAGGTATTGATTAGACGCTATTGGAATTTGTAAGATAAATTTTCTTATTTTAAAAATTGTATAGATCTGAATATTTTCACATAGGATGGGCATTGAAAGAAATGCAAGAGTATAGAAAACGGGGTGGACGTAAACATATGACAGTTCGTATAATAGAATTATTAAAAAGCTTTTTTCATGCTGGTAACATTGATAAAAGTGAACGATATACTGCAAAAAACATGCTTGATGTATTAGAGAAAAAAGCAGAAGTTGGTGAATTAGAAACTAGTGAAGTACCAAAGCTCAAAACTATAGAAAATTGGATCGGACGTTATGCACAGCAGTATAAAAAAGATTTAGCTGAAAAAGCACAAAATTTGTCTTCTGAAACCTTACACGAATCTTAAAAGATTATGATCAAAATATTACTACACAAATTTTGACCTGTATTAATTTTGGCTTTCTTTGCTAATAAAGCAATTTGATAATAGACCTCCAATAGCTTTACTCAGGTTAACTAATTGAATTTTATTTTAGAATTGGTATTCATATATATATATTTGTGTGCCTAAATTATTTTTAAAAAAAGTATTTTCAACAAACAATTTGGCATTGCTAAATTTTTTATATGAAACTCTCTGAAATACTGTAACTATACTATATAACAATTGTGGTATTATGTAAGAGTAATTTCGGCTATCTAAATGCCATATTTTATTCAAGTCAAATAAATTTTTACAAAATAATTACACACATTATTCATGATACTACGTGTCTCATTTGCTATGAAACGTTCATACTCTTGTTTTATATTACTACTTGAAGTCTTAACCCAAGCATTTGCCACTAAATATGAATCAAGAAAAAACATAGCAAACAGTATAAAGTTGTAAGTACAAAAAAGAGTAGAGAAAGGAGAAATATGGCAACAAGTGAATGACAGTATCTATATCATACTGCTGATATAGTAGTGCCCAATAATTCATACTTACTAGAACCCATATAAGAAACCAAGAAATAACAAAATTCAAAGCGCTAATACTTGTACCTAAATTCTTAACTGCTAATTACTAACTTTTAAATAATTTTGTCAGGAGTTTTAAACCGTTGAGTCTTGAAATTGTTGAAATGCTGA